GAAGTCTTTGTTAATCAGTTCTTTGAAAGTCATATTTGCATGAGGAAAAGACAGAAGGCTAAAGTAATCAGAATGTTAATATGTATGTATATTTATAAGAGAATGTGTATATTGTATACATTATATACACTGCTATATATCAGAGTTGATATATATATATATATATTATATTTTTTATTGCTATGGTAGAACTCACTGACCAAAACCCACTTGGGAAGGGACAACGTTCTTTAGCTTATACTTCCCAATCACAGCTCATCATAAAGAGAAGTCAGAGCATGAACTCAAATCAGAAACCAGAAAGCAGGAACTGAAGCAGAGACCTTGGATGAGCGCTGCTTACAGGCTTACTCCTCATGGCTTACCTTCTCATACAATCCAGGATCACCTGCTCAGGAGTTTTGCCTTCCCATATCAATTATTAATCAAGTAAATGCCGACAGGCTTGCCTATAAGCCGATCTGATGGGGGCATTTTCTCTGAGGTCCCCTCTTTTCAATTGACTTCTTTTCAGACTGACAAAAACAAGCAAACACAAATAAACAAAAAAGCCTAATGAGAACAAAGAATGAACCACTCCTATCCAGAATATCTAGCAGGTCCATTGGCCTACTGTGGCACAACTGAGATTAACAATAGTACACAGCACATCAATTCAAAACAGATGAGAGAAAATTGGGACAAAACCACATACTATGACTTTTCCATGGGTCACATAAGTAACATTATTCATTCCAGAGAAAGCATGAATAACATATCAAGGAAATTACTCTACCCATGTTCAACTTGGTGAACCTTTGAGGTACGTGGGTGAGGGTTTACTTACTTGGCATAGATGGGCTCAAAGGTAGTTTTACCACACTATATAACCCAGGCTTGTGACAATCCTCTTCCCTCTGTCTCTTATGTGTTAGATCCCTAGTTACCACATCTGACAAAGACTCGAAGATTTTAAATCAAGAAATAGTCTTTTCTTTTATTATCTGGCTATAATGGTTCTTGAAGATCCACACAAGAGCCTTGTGCTTTAACTTTGCTCTATGTCCTTGATTCAGAAACCTGTTGCCATCATAATATCCTAAGGAGGAGCTCACAGCTGTAAATTTCTCTTTCTAGACCTTGTAGATACCCGAAGCAGGGACAGGAAGAAACAGAAGTCTTAAGTCTGGGGTGCACTGCTTGTTCAGATGGTTTGGAGGATTGAAAATCTAGAGATCTTTAAATCATGAATTGATCATGTAAAATTCTACCAATATCTACCAGATAGATGCTGGTCAAGGAGCTTGTTGCCAAGCCCAAGGACCCAAATTCTATACCTGTGACCCACATATGGTAGGAAAGAACTGGCTCCCAGAAATTAACCTCTGATTTCAAGACACATGTTTTGACACATTCCTTACTTATTATTACATTCCTGCAATAAATCAATACATGTAATAAAAATATTCAATAAAAGTTAAAATAAGTACATTGCTGTGGCGTGAAAATGGAACCTGCATCATGCATCTGTCTCTGCATCTGCCTCTGGGTGACAACTGGAGACAGACTCTTTCCTCTCCCAGAATTCTCCTGTTCTCATTGCCCTGCCTCTACTTCCTACCTGGTCACCCTGCCTCTATTTCCCACCTGGCTACTGGCCAATCAGCATTTTATTAAACAGAAACAGAGAAAGTAAGACACAGAGCATGCAAGATGTGACTACCTCACCAAAAAAGGTACCAAGCCACGTGGCTAACACAGACAAGTATTATGGGCTAATATAAGTTTTAAGAGTTAATAAGAAGCCTGAGCTAATAGGCCAATCAGTTTATAATTAATGTAGGTCTCTGTGTAGTTCTTTGGGACTAAACGGCAACAGGACCAGGCAGGACAGAAACCCCAGTCAACAAAAAGCTGCTGAAATGACTCAGTGGATAATGAGTCAAGTCTGATCCCCTGAAACTACATGGTAGGAAAGAACCAACGTAACTCTTGCAAGTTGTCCTCTGACTTCCACATGTGCACTATTTCTCTGTCTCTTTCTCTCTCTCTCTCTCTCTCTCTCTCTCTCTCTCTCTCTGTCTCTCTCTCTCTCTCACACACACACACAGTCAGGTTTGGGGATGGAGAGGTGCCTAATCAATGATGGTTCAGCAGTTCAGAGTGATTGCTGCTCAGTTCTCAGTTCCCAGCACTCTATCAGGAAGCTCACACTACCTGTGACATCAGCTCCAGGGAACCTTCTGGCCTCTGTGGGAACCAACTTAAACATACATGACTCACACATACTTATGCATAAATGCAGAATAAAATAGTTTTTTAAAGTTTAACTGAAGGTAAAGAAATGTTTTTTTAAAAAAATACGTTTTGTATATGTGTGCTGCATTTTGTACCATTAACCATGCCAGAGGAGCAGCTAGTTGCAATTGAAGTTCCAGGTGTCAGCCCACCAGAAGGGAATCCTAGATGTGTTTATAAGGTTCCAAAGTTCATCACAGCTGAAACAAAGCTTTGAAAATAACAAAGTTAGATTAATATGTTTTAGTTAAATAACTTTTAGGTAAAATTTCAATAAAATAAAGTTTTAGAAAGACACATAGTTGAATACATAATTTTTTAAGGTCAGGGAACAAGAACAAAGCAGCCCAATTATTACTGGATGACGAACTCTTCTTGCTAGGTTTGGTTGATGACCAGAGGTGATGATTAATTCCTTATACCCATTTCTGCCCTTGATCTCCCGGTATAAAAAATATATTTATATAAGATTGAATGGATATGTACCCTAAGGATTTAAACTAGAGCTGGCTGATTCCTTTTCATATATAAAAAATTAGGTTTGTGATTCCCTTAAGATTCCTTATAAAATTGCCTTACATTTCAAGATAAGTAATAAAGTAATTGGCCCTTTTCTTTGTTACTGTAAAACTCAACCTACTAGTCAAACACCTGACAAGAACACCTTGCCTGCCTGCATGGTTAAGCTATAAAAAGTTGCTTATGAATGAATGTATGTGGGTTTGGGGGATAGTTTATCACCTGTAATACATAAGATGTTTAATCATGTGAGGGAAATGAAAAACATGTTTTTACCTATAGTCATTCACTTGAGAAATAGAAATATGACTCTTCTACTGCCTGGAAGGGTCTGTCGGTGTATAAAAGCTGTGAAGAACATGAGAGGAAGAGAGAGACTAAAGCAAGAGAGAGAATAATGTAGAAAATTATCAGGAGAGTTTGTGAGTGCCTTTTCCCCTACTCCCCACATAGAAAAGTCAAGCCTCACTGACTCCATGGATTCCTATCAAAGCCCTGTGCTGTTGGAGGCTGGCCCCCAGACAGCGTTAATTTCACCGTTAAAGAACTTAGTTAAGGACCACCTTATAATAGAGGTTGGCTGTGATTCTCGCTGCCTTAGGGTTTTTCAATACTGGGGTCTATAAAAACCTCTTCATCCCATTCAACAGGCATGAGTTAGAAGAGCACCATTCTTGGAGTTAGTCGGTGTGCTCTCTCATTGCATGTAGACCTTTCTGCATGTCACTTGGTACTGAGTTAATTAATTACCAGAAAGCAAGGTTCTTTCTCTTCTTCACAGAGAAAGAACCACTAAGAAAAATCCTAAAGACCTAAAGGCCCTGCAGAGGTGGGCTTCTGGGAAGACTTGTGGAGAGAAGGCTTCTGTTGGAAAGGGAGAGGGATAGAGGAGGTGGAGTGAGGCCAATGTAAAGTTTCTTCTAGGCTGTAAGGAGGTCCTTGGATTTTAGGGCACTTTCAGTGAGCTGAACATCCTACCAAGACGATACGATGGACTTATAAACGCCACCCCATCTTCGGCGCAGGAAAGCTCCTGGGAATAGAGCGGCACAAGGGTCACCATGTACCTCTCTCTGTGTCTCAAGCAGCAAATGCACCCGCTGGCTCGTCTCAGCTGTCTGCATGGCAATTTCCAGCCTACCTGAGCATAGCATCTCCAGAAGGCTTTATTCTACAAACCAGGCAGCTTTACTCCAGGAGTGACTGTGATCTTTGGGCACCAAGGTTATTAACCAGAACAGTGTTTTTATCCTTTTGATCATCACATGAGAGTCACTAAATGGACACTTTCTCTCTTTGTTTTGTGCTGTGCTTAATAACTTACCTGGATGAGATCGGTAGGATGGGAAGATACAGGAATCAGAACCACATTTCAAATATCTGAGGCCACAGACACCTGAACTAAATAACCTACAGGATGGGGGTGAATACAAAAAGATGTGCTGCAGTGAAGCAAAGGAAGTCTGACAGTGGAGGATGACAAGAAAATGAGCAAGGGACGATGAAATAGATAACTGAAGATAAACAGTTTTAGAACATAGCGAGGAAGTTCCAGACCACAAGCTTTCTGTTTCCTGCACTAAAGCAACTCCTGACTAAATGACACTTGAAATAACTAGTCCTTGAGGGGGAAAGAAGTGAATATCACACTTTTGAAATTCATAATTTCCTGAATAAAACCTGTCCAAGTTAGAGAAAGAGCCACGAGGATACAAATTTTCAAAGTCCCGACTCAACAGTCCACCTTCTGGCCACTAGCAATACTTGGGACATAATGGATATTCAATAAATGCCAATAGCCGCATGTACGAGGAAATGCATGAATAGGATTACAAAAAAAGTTTACCCTCTTTTCCAGTGTTTTTTCCACATCAGATACAGCAATCTCAAACTTTTAACTCTGTGTTTAGATGATGCTACTTGCTAAGTTATTTGAGCTTTCTTAAAAAAGTGGAAAAGATTTCTTTAATTCTGGGAAAATCCCATTTATCTTTTTCTCCTGAGGCTACAGTTGTGAGAAAGCGCATTTCAGACAGCAGGGAAAACCCGCAGCTCACCACAACAACACAGGGTGAAGCGTCTGGGCCACTGGAGCATAAATTAAAGAGAACTGGCAGAACTGAACAAGTAGGAGGGAGGAGGAAGGGGTGGAGCCAGATTAATGAGGTATAAAGGCTGAAACGCCTCAGAGACCAAGGCACTGGCAAGACAGCTTCAGCAAGGACTCACTGTAGACCTCTTGAGATACGCCAGGGAAGTCAGGAAATCTTGAGAAGAAAAAAAGATGAATTCTGAAGACTGCTCCATAACGGAGACCAGCTCTTCACATCTGGAGAGAGGGCAGAAGGGTAAGTTGTGTGATTTCTTACATTCTGATATGATCTTTATATTTGATGTAAGGGATAGAGTGCAGAATGGAGAGATAGAAATCTTTGGAAACTTGGTTAGGGCCTATTTCAGTGTGTAAAAGAGAAACCAGCCATAGGAAAACACCTCTCTGGCTGTAAGAAGACAGAATACTTGTGTAAGAGGGAGACGTGTAAGTTTCAGAAGATCTTTAATTGACTTTTCCTTTGAATCGATATATATCATTTCAACTATTAAATTTAAATGGAAAATTATCTGCCTTAGCCTAGTTACTCTGCATCATTTTCCCATAACCATCTGTCCGTAATTCAGGAGCTCTTACCGCTCTTTATGAAGAGCTGCTTTCCACATGAACAGTTACGGTCTTGGTCTTTTCTTGTATGTTTGCCTGCTTTCTGTGTGTCTTGTCTCTTCACTTCTCTCACCATGAATCCTTCAGTAGCTGGAAGCACACAGATATCCAGTCTCAGAGAAAACAGATTTACACACCCAAGACATCGACAGTGTCATGTGATGATTTGTTAGGATGTAGTGTTTCTCTTCTTTCAAATGTCATCTTCAGCCATGACATTGTCATTGGAACTCCATTCTTCCATTTTATCTTATTTCTCTCGTTCAATGGTTTACTTCAATTTCCATAACAACTATCTGTTTTCATCATTTTTATCGAAACATGATAACCCTGCACATTTCCCTCTCTTCTTTCTGTCTATTCTACACGCGTTATGCTTCCTATTGTCAGAATTTCCCCATTCTGTTTGTATCTGAGTGATGAGGAGCCTCAAGCACTTAGCACTTGGGAACTAGAGTAATTTCTAAGCAAGAACTATCCAGTTAATCAAAAGACACGCTTTCCCAACACAGCCAAGACAATTGGTGAGGAGGAAATTATTTTCTGAGTGCATCTTTGTCATGTTGATTTATTCTTTAAAAAAGCCTCCATTATCTTTAAAAACTCGTCTCTTATTTGAAATCACGAAGTCAAGTACAGATAAATAGTATGCAATATTTTAGAGACCTAAATCACCAATACCTGTGTGTCTCACTTAAAAGGAAAAAAAAAATAAAAAACAATAATGAGACTATAAACAATAGTGGAAGGAACAAAGATCTAATACAGAAAATCCCATCCTGGCCTGTGTCAGCCCCATCTACCCTTGTAACTTTAACTTATGCTATCATTGCTATAACCTTTGCAACAAAAGAATCAGCAGTCTCTGTTTAGGTGATTGGAAGGTGGAAAATGGGTGGATCTGTTTTCAACCTCTCTGTTAATGCACAGGCCTCAGAAGTGTGCTGTTAGTGGGGATGTTTTGTTGCCTAGGTGACGGGTAGAACTGTGGTTAGTATTGACTCTCAGTGATGGAAATCAAGTGTCACGTGGAAGCTTGTCTTCACACTGTATGCACCAGGTGGTTCGATGGGTTGAGCTTGCTGAGATCTAGGTGTTGTTTTGGATATAGATGTGTTTGCTGTGGAGCCAGAGTTATTGATGAATTGAGTCCAAACAGTGTGACTGGCTATTATATGTTGAGAAGTGAAACTAAACCCATCTCTGAATTTACCACTCAACTGCCAAAGACTACCTCTGAAGATAATTGTGTATGGGTGTGAAAAGGAAGGCAGGAGAAAACAGACCCTGACAGTATCGATAAAGGCTTCTCTTAGAAGACCCGAAAATGGATTTTCACTGAAGGGGGTGGGGAGACTCCTAGAAAATGCAAAAGTTGATGATACTAGCCATACTGTGCCTCTCCTTAAGCTTATCTGTAAGGAGATGTTTTAAGAAAAAGAAAAAAAAAGAATTCACAAATTTTAAGATCAAGTCTACAGAAATACTCTTTCAGTTGTAAAACATTTTCCTCATTGAAAAACTATGTTTTTGTAATGAGAAAAAAAAAATTGAGACAGGTTCTTACCTTGCAGACAAACCAGCTGCAAACTCACTATTCTCCTCTACCAGACTCCTGCATGTTGGGATTACAACAGTGGAAACTGATTATCACTGATTATAATGGCATTCAAAGAGCCATTTCACGCTGCAGTTTCTGTGATTTTTTTTTTAAATCATGCTGGCAAATTTGGGAACTTACAAGGGCATTCTTGTGGGGTCACACTGTTTTGAATCTTGAGGGCTCATCCTGCAAAAAACAAAATCCAAAATCTGAAGCCAGAAATGGACTTCTCCCTCTTTCCAGTCACCTAACGTGCTAGAGCAGACATATTTCTTCCTGTCCAGATCCTGACATTTCTGTTGTTTGATTGTTTGTTTGCAGTTTTTGTTGTTGTGCTCAGAATTTGTTAAAGTTGACTTAATATTTTATACTGATGGAGCAACACATTACTGTTTTTAATATTATATTCCTCAAGAAATAGCAAATGCTCAATCTTAAACCTAAATTCGTAACCATTTCTTTTTCTTTTCAGATCATGGCACCATTATACATTTTGAGAAGCATCATGAAGGATCCATTCAAGTTCCTATCCCTTGTGCTGTGTTGACTGTCTTCATCATCACTTCCTTAATTATAGCTCTCGTTGCCTTGAGTGGTGAGTCTATATTTCACGAATTCTCTTATAGCCTGTAGCTGTAAGAATTCACATACAGCAGAAATGAATGGCTCTCAGTCTGATCTAGTTAATCGGGCCTTCTGATTGACTGAGAAACATCTCACACACCAGATAATGGTTAGTTTTATGATCAACATGAAATACAATCTATGCTCCCTGAATGATGGCTGCAGTAATTTTATAAACACAAAAAGTATTTGGTTTATACATCATGTGAAAGAGAGTATGTTTATATCTGAAGAGACATTAATAGTATAAAAAATGTGGACTTTTCATTCATGTTGACAAGAAAAAGAGCATCTAACCTATAGATGGACCAAAAATTGGCCAATAATTTTATCTTTTAGCTCACACCAACAGACTAGAAACTGAATTACTATAACAGCTAGATCTCCCAGAGCCCACTGGGTAACGCTGTACCACCATGCATGCTAAGACACATCTATGTCTTTTAAAAATAAGAAATGTTACAATTTGAAGAAATACCCCAAACCATCCATCTTATTGTATTTTCAATTGAAAATAGTTCATATAGTATCTCATGATCACACTTTTCTTTCCTCCACCTCCTCCCAGACATCCTCATGTACTTTATCCTATGCTTAAAGTGAGTCCTTCATTCTTCTAATTCCTGTGTGGGGTTATTGAGATTCTAAATAAGTTTTGAATCTAGGACTTACAATATATGTCTCCCTCCCCTTAGCCTAAATGTTATTTTTGAGATTTCTCCACTTTCCTGACACTTTCTGGTATAATGACCAAGAGAACACAGCCCTCTGCTCACGTCCCTTCCTGTGATGAGGGACCTTGGGCACCAGATAGATGACAGTGGAGGTCTGATTTCTCCCTAACTAAAAGTAGAGCATCTGCTAGACGAAGTTTACCTGTGAAGAGGGTTTGGTGTCTTCTCTTACTAAAACAAATGATCTTACTGTCCACAGTGGGCCAGTACAATTGCCCAGGCTTGTATCAGAATTTGGCATCACTGGACCACCATGTTGCTTCCTGCCAGGACGAGTGGGTTGCATACCAGAGGAAATGCTACTTTTTCTCCACCACAACCAGCAGTTGGGCCTTGGCCCAAAACTCTTGTTCTCAAGATGATGCTACACTCGCTGTTATTGATTCCGAAAAGGACATGGTAAGATTCACAACTGATTTCATCAAATGCTGCTGATTTTAGTTTTTATCCTGATGCTAAGTCAGGTTTGTAATGTAACTTCATTGTGCTTTAAGATATTTCTGAAGCGACACACTGGAAGACAGGAACACTGGATTGGGCTGAAAAATGAAGTTAATCAGACATGGAAATGGGCAAATGGCAAAGAATTTAACAGATGGTAAGTCACAAGAGATCTCCATCCCTTCTAGACTGACAGTTTTATTTAAAAAAAAAAACCCTTTCTTCTCTCATTTTTATTTCATTTTATTTTTACTCTCCTCTTTCTTCTTTTTAAGTTCTTTTGGTGGTGGAGGATCAGTTCTTCATCACACAACTCTGACCACTTCTCTTGTGTGTATTATGCTCCTCGCATTCTCTAAATATTAAGCCCATAACTACTTGGTTGCAAGACTTGTGTTCTGTGCTTCCTACTCAAGGAACAAAGAGAAAAGGCAGAGGTCACCTCAACGTTTATTCTCGTGTAACTGGCTGGAAATGAGGACTGAAAATAAATATGAGTGTCTTTATGGTTTGACAGGTTCAACCTGACAGGGTCTGAGAGGTGCGTGTCTCTACACAGCACAGACATTGCTACTGAGAACTGTGAGAAGAACTTACACTGGGTCTGTAGCAAGCCCTCCAGATGACAAGGAAGCCTTTATCTGTAGATGACTGTGCCATGGATCCACAGGACGGTTGTGTGACTGGATGCTACTCTATGATCAAATTTTCCACAAAGACCTCACAGGCCAACTTTACATCATCCCGAGACTCTTCCATATAAGACTGTGGGACATTATGGAGAGACTCCAGGATCTGTATTGGAGTCTTCCTTGACCATGAGCTGAAAAAGTCAGTCACTGACAAATAATTATATCAAAAAAATGAGAGGACGACTATGAAGCCTCATAGATGCACTTTATATTTTAAATCTAGAATGAATAAAATGACTAGCTTTAGAGTTACTATTTATTGCTGAGTGGCTGCGACAGCCAATGCCTTTATGCATTTGCACTATTTGAAAGGATTTGGGTGGTAGTAAAAGCTGAATGTAGATATGGGAAAATTTGGCTGATTAATGATTTTCTTAAACTCCGAAAGTATTCACAAGTAGACCAATGCTTAGGACACCAAGCTTTGCAGTAGTTTCCTCTATTTACAGACCTCTGTCACATTATTTTGTCAATTGTCTTTTCCCAAAGTGTAAGGATGACCTTTTCTTTAACTTCCTCAGTATAGGCAGCTCACTTTCAATGGTACATATTTCTTTGTCTTTAAAAGTCTTCTCTGTAGTGAAGAGACAAAAGCACACCATATGAGGAATATTTGTAAAGCATATTTCAAAGTGCTGAAAACAAAGTGCAATATGTGTCATGGCAGATCTTTGTTAGGACCTACATCATGCGGATTGACCCTTGAATAATTCCAATCTTGTCGAATAACCTATTTGTGTCTTTCCCAGTCCGTAAGATCACATACAGTACTTTGTTCAACATATTTCCTATGTGCAATAAAGTGTTTATGTATTTGTTTGTATTTTAAATCTCTGTATAATTTTAAGCCGTTTCTATGTATGTGAAAATAAATGAATGGACACAGTGGTTTCCAGAAGTGCTCATTCAAACTGCATTCAAAATTATGTTGTGTTATAGCATTGAACTCCTTCCAAAGTGGGATCTGTAAACCCATAGGTTACTGCAGCTCACAGACCTCACCAGAGCTTCTTTATGGAATGGGCAATGGTTAATACAAAGTCTCCAAACTGGTCAGAATGTAGAATCAGAAAGCTGTGGAGTGCTCAGTCACAACTACACACTCTCCCCAGAAAGGTTCAGGCAACCTCATGGGATGGGGGAAGAAATATTGTAAGAGCCAGAGGTCAAGGAGGAGTGAGGCAAAATAGTGTTTGGGGGTTATGAGAGGAGCACTGTACACATAAACTCAGAGCAGCTGTGCTTCCCTGCACAAGACCAAACCTACCAACATCCGAACAGGATGGAAGAAGGGAGTCATTTCTCCTAGCTGAGGAGCTATTGACAGTTGACTGCTGCTAGGAGAGGGGCAGTCAGTTTTTACTCACAAGTATGTCCCTAGCAATTGACTATGCTCAGTGAATGACCCTATAGCAATGCATATATGGACAGCACTAGTTAGACCCAATGGGATGTAAGAAATAAAGGGAGTTTATGATGTTTGAGGAAGTTAGAAGAGGAGGTGGTGGGTGAATATGATTGGAATACTCAAAAAGTAACTATAAATTACATCATATTAGAAAGAAGAAATCAATAGAATGCTGTTTAAAAGTTGTCCACATAGCAAAATCCTAGCTTTATGATATCTTTTTTATATATTTTCACACATTCATGCTAAAATGATACATTCATTTTTGTATATACCGGATACTCTGAGTCTTTGGTCCATGTATCCAATGGTCTAAAACCATCTTTTCCAGTGTTCTGAAATGATCTTTTTAATATATACATTAAGCTATTTTTTAATGCTAATTTAACATGTGAGTAGTAGATGGCTTTAGAGGGTTATTTCAGCTTGGAAAACCTCTGATCAGTCCCAGAGCTATTTAGTGAATGAATGCTGCAATCTCACCCTTTTTGACATTTGAAAAAGAATGGCCTTTTTAGTATGTGGTCACCCCCATGACATACAGAAAGCAAGAAGTGTTTAGAATTCTTAATGAAAAATAAGTTGAAGTCCATTAACCACCGAGAACCTCAGTTCCACAGCTATGGAATAAAGCAGGTGGTCTCCCCACTTGAATGTTCTATCCTGAATAACCGCAGCCTGATCCTGAGTCATGCTGGAAAACAGTCTTGTGATTTGCATGGTGTGGATGTGTAAGTGGAAAGGTCACTCTTGAGAACCACAGGATGAGAGCCAGCTGACCTAAGTCTCTTTTCTGCCATCCCCTGGCTAGCTAGCTATTTTAGAATTAGAGATCGAGCTGAAACCAATCAGAAACTTAGTTGACACAAACAACCTTAAAACAGGACCAAGGTCACAGCAGTCAGTTGATGTATTGAATATTAAAAATCTTGCATGTGATACCAGGTGGTGGTGGCACATGCCTTTAATCCCATCACGCGGGAGGCAGAGGCAGATAAATCTCTGTGAGTTTGAGGCCAGCTTGTTCTATGAGAGATTTTTCCAGGACAGCTAAGACTGTTACACAGAGAAACCCTGTCTCAAAAGAAAAAAAAATCTTACACATGAAACACTATATCAACAAATTTCAGTATTGTATAAAGTATCATTTATTTTAAGCTTGTGTACTTCTACATAGCATGCTTGTTTGTTTTCTAACAAATTTTTAAAGATTCATTTATCGAACACGTAGTACTAAGGTTAAAATATCCAACAACTGATGTCCACTTACATGTATGTGTTTGTGACTAGTCTTGTTACATCTTGTTATCCTGTGTTCAGTTAATATCACTGGGTTTCTGCTCTTTTCTAAAGGGAGACTGAGGAGCAGTTGATGTAGGAGATAGGAGACGTATGTGTATGTGTGTGTGTGTGTGTGTGTGTGTGTGTGTGTGTGTGTGTGTGTCAGGGGAGCTGGGAGGAATGGAGGGAGGAAAGGTTGTGGTCAAGATGTACTGTATGAAAGAAGAATAGATAAAAAAAAATCCAACAAATGCAACATTAAAGTGTGTAGAGTTTTTATCTACTTTGTGAAACAGGCAATAAAATGAACAATTATTGTGTGTTTATGGCTGTGACAGCAATGACATAAGATGCCATTGGAACCTCTTTGAAGTACAGAACTATTTTCTATGACAGTCAAATTTTACAAGAAATTTACAAGCTACACTCACCTTAGATGATTTTGGTAACATGTGCTGAAGACCTCTATCAGTGTTCTTTGTCTTATTTTGATTTTTCCGGAATAATTTTAGCTTTTTCCTCCTCAAAGGGAAACACACCTCCTGCTTACTCCACATAATGTAGAATAAATGGTAGACATTAACTGTTCTTTAAGAAAAAAAAAGTATCATTGAAATGTTCATATTTAGTAATTCAAACCTTTTAAAATATCGCATCTATGAGGTGCCACCATGGCCGAAATCTCTTGCTGGGCTAGTCTGACCACCTGAGTTCATTTGCAAGAACCCAAGAGGAAGGATAGAACTGACTCCTGAGAATGCCCTCTGATCTCCACAGGTTAAAAGGAGTCTTCTGCAATATCATAATGATGTTTTATAAACTGATTCTCAAATTTCATTATCCTAAGAAGATTTGAAATGCAAATTTGTAACTGAAATTAAAATGAATATGAATCTCTAGGGGGATCTTGTTAAAAATGTAGCCAGAAGAACAGATAGAGGTGGCATGATTTAGCTTAGTTTAATTTTTGGAAGCCATTTATCAAAAAGCCATTGAATGATTGATATCCTTTCTGTGATATGACTACTTTGGAGAGAAAAAAGAGAAAATTAAGAAAATAATCTTTGATGTGCAAGGTCAATTTCTAGTAAAAATCAGAAACCACACACTTGATCAAAACTAATGATTCAGTTAAATAAACATGATTCTGAAACATGAAGAAAGGCTGCCCAACATTAAAATATGAATATGAGGACTGGCAAGATGCTCCATGCATCATGACAAGTGTGTGCTCACACACATATAGCATGCACAGCACAATAAATGAACAAAACATTCTATAAGATGATAATGAGGAACATCTGTATATATGAAAGATTAGGCCTCCTGGTCAACATTACATGTGCTAAATATCTTTATATTTTTATATGCCGAGGAAGAGACAAAATGCTACAACTTCCCCCTAAATAATAGTTTCCTGTTTCTTTATAACTTCAAATGTTGTCAAATCCTAAAAAAAAATTTAATTTAAACCAACACAAATAAGATTCCAAAATTGAATAATTCTGTTATTTAAAGCACAGATGTACTTTCCAGAGGCAAATCACAAATATTAAAAATGAGTTTGCTTTCAGAACACATCTGAGGCTCATGTGATGTAACACCCATGGTTCATGAGACTGCAGTGCTCTCTAGTGGCCATAGGGAACCACTGCATGTTTATTTTAAGTAGCTTTCTACGTGAAACATGATTTGTTGGTTACAGATGTGGCTCACCTAGTGAGGGTGACTGTTGCCAAGCCTAATGATCTGAGTTCAATGCCCAGACCCACTTAGTGTAGGAAACACTTCTGTGGAAGCACATTCTGCTCCTTCAGTTAATAGCCTTTAAGATATCAACCCAATTGGGTGTGGTCTCTTATAGTTTAAAAAGCAGTGGGAGCCGGGCGTTGGTGGCGAACACCTTTAATCCCAGCACTTGGGAGGCAAAGGCAGGCAGATCTCTGTGAGTTCGAGGCCAGCCTGGTCTACAAGAGCTAGTGCCAGGACAGGCTCCAAAGCTACAGAGAAACCCTGTTTCGAAAAACTAAAAGATAAATAATAAATAAATAAATAAATAAATAAATAAATAAATAAAAATATAAAAAGCAGTGGGAACTGTGTGCCTTCTCTCTTGCTTCTGGCTCCTGTTCCTGCTGCTAGACTCTGTTTCCTGCTTGTTCTCAGAGGACTGTTGTATAGAACAGTAATCTGTAAGTTTTCCTTTTAAATAAATATCCCTTTTATTATCAATAATTCTGAACTGGTGTGGGATTGTTTTACTGCATCATCTGGCACCCAACATTTGGTTTTAGACCTCCCCTGGCTCTGCTGCTCCCTGCCAGCTTGGAGTGCGCATAGTTTGGCATGAACCCTCCCTCAGAAGTCTACAGCCTGTGCGTGGAGCCCAGTGCAATATAGAATTGTGCACAGCTGCCCTTTTTTTTGCTATGAATCAGCCACAGTTTTTTTATATTTTCTCTTTACACACCCCAGATTGTCATCAAGTCCCCACGCACCCTACTGTTTGCCTCCCACCAGGGTGCACCACAGACATTTGGGTGAGATGTGGGCTTCCCTGGTATGA